CTCATCAGTCCACTACAACATACAGTTATACATTAATAGGTCTGTACAGTGGTATGAACTATACTATCACAGTGAGAGCTGGTAATGTACTAGGAATATCTGATTCAAGCATTATATCAGCTAGGACATCATTATCAAGTATAAATTCTAATTTTTATCATTTTAAGATTATTTCTTTACTAGTTCCTGTAGGTGTACCAACATCTCTTCATGTTAATCCAAATACTAATAGGATTATGTGGAATGAGATCAATTGTTCTCAACTCAGTGGTAGATTCATTGAATATAATGTACTTATACAGAATGTATATGTAAATGAGCTTGTGTTTGGTACTGAGTATAACATCAGTGTAGCTGCTGTCAATTCTGTTGGAAGAGGTCCCTTCAGTGATCCTATTTTAGTAGAGATTGGAGGTATGATCTAGTCATAATGATTGTGAAAGATACTTTTTATAGCTACTACTAGTAGCAGTTGTAATCCATGTAATGATGGTGCTGCTATTGGACTGGGGATTTTTGTAGCTATATTGATGATTCTATTAGCTGTTAGTCTTGCTGTCAATATCTACTGCTTTATGAAGTAAGAAAAACAATTATGCTTTGAGAGATAAATTTACAATTCTTTTTCAAAAGATTTATATATCCTGTCATTGCAACAAAAACAAATAAATCCACAACTAAAGAAGCAAATAAGTTAGTGTGTGCTAGTGTGTTCAATAATGTTAGTATTATATTTATGATACCACAATAGAATTGATGAAAACATAGCAATGAAAGAATGTGAATCGTATGGTGTCAGTGAAGCAGTAATTTATGAGGAGTGTGGTGATAAAGTTAACAAATCTACTACTGATGATAAACCAGTTAAACCTGTTGTTGTTGATGAACCACCTGCTGCTGTTTATGAAGCATTTGATACTGATGATATCATACATGATGTTGATGACATTGATATATATGAAGCATAAACTACACTTCTTTATGCACAGATGCATGCTGCGATAATAAATGCTATACTAATAAATAGTGTGACATTATTCAAATAATAATATAACAAGCTTTAGGGTAGAAAGATGTCAGCCACATCACACTATCAATTTTGTAAACATTAATTTTGAAAACAGAAACTTTCCTGTTCTTATTCTCATGTTCATTGTAATACAGATAACCAAAAATTAAATGAAATTTTTTTACCTCTTTAATAGATCAGAACTATTGATCGTTGTATTGAGGTATTTATGAAGGTGCATTCTGTGATCTGGTTTGGTCAACACAAAAGGTAAAGGTGTTAGGTGTAAAGTTTATTGTTGTGTTGGTAGAAATATACTTCAGTTCTATAAGTACAATAACATTGTCATTGAAGCATGAAGGAAAGGAAGCAGTAATATTCACGACTGTAGATTTGTTTACTTTTAAATAAAGTTGCTGGCATGTCTCTTCTGGTAGTGGCTGTCTTCTTGTTGAGTGTCAGTGAAGTTATTAGTCAATGTCCACCTTCCTCAGGTAAGACACTGGATGTGTATAATAACAACTGTATAGGTTTTTATAGGTATCTACCTGATGCATAATGGAAACTGTTATACTAATGGATCATATTTTTATGATAATGACATTCAGGGACAGAGTAACAGTATCCAGTGTGTGTTACCTGGCTCTACTCTGAATGGTGGAGAGTGGGTTACTTCTAGTGGATCACCAGTTGAATGCAGTACTAATCCTCTTCGTTGTAATGAGGTATCTTCACCTAATGCTAGCATCAGTCTTTACATTGATGGAAGCATATCACCATCAGATGATGGCTGGTACAAGTGTTGTCTACCCACTGATTGTTCAGATCCTAACACTAACATCATCTTTGCTAATATATTCAGTAAGTGTTAGTAACACTGTCATTTTGTTACTGATTTATCTATATACTGTAGGATGGGCACAGATCGAAGATATTACTGTTGACTTTCCTTCAGATATAACAGTTCTACCTCAAAATTACACATTGCATGCTATTAAAATTGGTCATAATGATCATGATTCATTTGTACGACATGTCTTATGGTACTATGTGTCTGGAATGAATAGCACTGCGTTATGCTATGGAAAAGCAACTAATTATAGTTGCACTATTGGCAATGGAACAGCCATACCAAAAGGTAATGGAAAATGGGACTTTACTCTAACTCATACTTGGAATGATGAAAATATTACCAATGGAGTGCTGAATCAATCAAACAGCAATGGGGATCTTGTGTACAGATTCCATTTGTATTTTGGTCATTATAGTCACAGTCCAGTAGTAAGAATTCGATACATTTCTATCACTGGTAAATAAGTAAAATATTTTTTGTATTTCTTAAAATTATTATTTATAGTACCAGCAACTGCTCCCTCTTCTCTTACTGAGGTCAACAAGACAGCTACTACTATCACTGTCAGTTGGACTCCACTTGATTCATCTGATGCTGATGGATATGTAGTCAATGTCACTAGTGACACAGACACTGTGCAGACAGTACAGGTGGAGGGAAGTAGTAATAATACAATCACACTGAATGGACTGAATATAAAAACAACTTATAGCATCACAGTCAG